GGGGTTACAGACGCTTTGTCGTAGAGACGCTGCGAGAGCTCAAATCGGAGGAGCAGGAAGGTCAACAGATGACGCAGACAGAGTACGAATATGCTAAGAAGATGATTGGGGCGAACCTCTCTAACTTCTCGGCCTGGCATTATCGTACAAAACTCATCCAGCGCATGTTGAACGAGAAATCCGCTAGCGACGCGGAGCGAAAAGCGATGCTTGACAATGGTACGTCATCCCCTTTGTCATTTGCGTGGCCTGGAGACAGCGTACAAGTATGTGTGTTGACATATCATACTGGGAAGAATTGGACTTGATCCATCGTGCCTTGTGTGACCCGTATGATCAGTCATTATGGTTCTATCATCAGAACCTAATGTGCGTCTTTGATCCATCTGTGGCGGATCAGACGCTGGCACCGCACTTAAGTGATGCCGAACGCCTTGATTATCTCCGACAGGAAATTGACGAGATTCAAGATATGTTGGATGGGGCCGAGGATTGCAAGTATATTTACCAAGCATTGATTGATTGTACGATGTTGATGTGGAAGGTGGAGGGAAGTGCGCCCAGTGGAGAGAGGAAAAAGAAGGTGCAGGATTGGCTGTCGGAATTGAAGAAGCTGGACCCGCTGCGACTCCAACGGTGGCTGGATTTTGAACACTCCCTCAGCCGCTGAGCCGGTCATGGTCATGGTCAGGTCATCCCTTGCCGATGCGATATGTATAGTAATCTATAGACGCCATCTGCGGGGGGAATAATTTTTTTGCTTTGTTGACAAGAAGATTTTCCGATCTTTAACTTACTTTTCCTTGCTTTTTTTTTTTCTCCCCCTCTTGTGCAATGATGGGAGGGGGCGGACCTAGGCCAGGAAGAAAGATGATGGGCAGCAGCTGCAGCACTTGCTCCATAGTGGGACCAACCACCGCGATGGATTTTTGTTGGTGAGTTTCAGAATAACAAGTGTCCACGGGAATGCTCAATGCTGGTCTCCCTCAGGCGGGAGAATGGGCACTTAATGCAGCCCCGGAATCATTTTAGTGGTTCACCTGGCAGGAACCCGCGCATTTGCCTGTTGATAAATCCCGACCACAGAATTGATGCGAGTACAGACGTAAGTACAGTAGTGTAGTCCAAGTAACCTGTCGAACCGCCAGCCATCCCGTCTTTATTCTCTTCCAACCGAGCATGGCTGTGAAGGTATTTTTCTTGCATAAGGAACAGCCTCTCTCTCCTACTCTCCTCTCTCTCTCTCTCTCTCCTTTCCCCCTTTTTCCCCAGCACTAGCTTCAACACTGCTGGCTTGATACGTCCTTATTGCCGGCTGGCTAAGGGACTAAGTCGTAGTGTAGGCAGACTAGGGGTTGACTTAAAGAAGCGCCTGCCAGTGGATGTTTATTTAGTATATTTAGTAGTGACAGTAAGTAGTTTAGTTAAGGGGGAAGGCAGCATCCGAATCACGGGGTTTAGAGAGTCTCGCCAAGCCCCATCTTTCTTTTGCCAGGGGATCTCCCGTTGACTATTACTTTCTACTTTACTTACTTTCATTCTTCCTCAGCAACGGTGATTTGACATCGTTCTCTACTTGGCCTTCTTGTTCTGCCGCCGACGGGAGAAGAACGAAGGAGGGAATCTTCATAAATCCACTCTCCATCCCTCCTGGCTCCATTGCGGACATCTTTCCCCCCCCTGCCAGTCCCGTGGTACAAAGTCCGGAATTCCACCCGCTGGCTCTGGGTCCATTCCATCCCATCATCCCATCTTATCCAACCTCTCCCCCTTCCCTCTCAATTTACAATTTGGCTACAGCCTGTGGCTCCCGCCCGACACACCCCCTGTTTTCTTCGTCAATCCTCGGTCCCTATCATGGAATAATCGCTGTTTGGTCTTCATCATACACATCGAATTTCGTTTCGGCCGCCTCTCTCTTGTTGATCGAAATTGGATTGAAGAAACCAGCTGGTTTCACATAGTGGACACCCTCCCAGGTGGTCGGGTCCCAATATGTCTTCTAGGAACAGCGCAGAGTACGAAGGTGTAAGCTTCTCTCACCAAAACCTGGCGATCACGAAGAAAGACTCATAATCTTATTCGCACCAGGATTCCTTTGACGATGCGCCCGAAGCCCCGAACACCCACGGCAGTCTGAACGTTTCCATTCCCCAAAGCTCTTCCACACGGTCTTTGACAGACAGCCCCCCGAGCGGATCGAATGTTGCCACGCCTCAATTGACGGAAGCTCCCCCGCTACCGGCGACTTCTCACGAAGACCACGAATCGGCCGAGGAGACAGATGATGCTGGCGTGGAGAAACAATCAGAAGCGGAGGATACCCCTCGCAAACAGAAACTCCAGAAATCTCCACTCTTGACTGCGCACAGGCTATCAACAACGTCTCTCGACGACGTGAACCTTGCCAGTAGCAACAAGGACGATGAATCGACTGAAAACCAGCCGTTGAGCCAGGAGCTCAACTCCGGTACCCCTCCTCCATTCTCCTCTAGAGATTCCACGTCGTCCCACAGCTCGCGCCTCCAGGGATCATCCAACGCTTCTACCGCAAAGAATCAAACCCCTGTTGCACCGCCCCCTCCGCCAACTCGATCGTTTACCAGCCCGTTTGCATGGCTGTCTCGAAGCTCGTCGGGCGGAAAGGACGCCAAGTCGCCTCCGGCACAACCACGTCGGAATACGGCCGCATCCATATCGACTATTGCCAGCAATCCGGAAATGGGTCGTCACCACGATGGGGAGGATGTTGATGGTCTAGGCCATAGAAAGCCGAGGCGCAGCAGCCTCAAGGACCAGTTCAAACAGCTCAGGTTGCGGGAGGAAGGACTCGCGTCGGAGAATGACGAGGCTAGCGTTGCGTCGGGACGTGCAAGTTTCACGGCCGGAAGTCCTCCACCCAGCATACCGGAAGAAGGGGAGAATGGCCTTGCGGCCGCCCCCCGGGCGACGTCGCCGCCTAATGGAGCGTCAACCGTCAACCCTAAGCTTGCCCCGGGAACTGTTGCGGGTATTTCAACCTCTGCAACTGACGCGTCTGCGCCGGTAGACTGGGAGCTCTGGCAGCAACTAGTCAACAATGGTGCGCAAGCGTTGAAGGGGGCCAACTCGGATGAACTGAATGCCGCTATCAAACGAGGCATTCCCCAAACTATTCGTGGAGTGATCTGGCAGGTTCTGGCCGACAGCAGAAACCCCGAGCTTGAGGAAGTATACCGGGAGCTCATTGCCCGTGGCACGGACAAGGAGAAGCAGGGCAGCCCCAATGGTACCATTAACGGAGAGAAGGACTCAACGGCCTCTTCATCTCGCTCATCTGTTCGATCGGAGCGTTCTGCCTCGGTGGCCCACTCGGTCAATGGTTCGAGTCCTTCCCAGGAGTTGGATCCCGAGAAGCTGTCCAAAGAGCAGGCCGCAAACGAAACAGCTCGGAAAAAGAAGGCCAAAGAGGAATCAGCCGCACTTCTGAAGCTAGAGAAGACTATTCGTCGTGACCTCGGTGCTCGCACAAGCTATTCACGCTACTTCGTGTCGCAAGGAAACCAGGAGGGGTTGTTTGGGCTCTGTAAGGCATACGCCTTGTATGATGAGGCCGTGGGATATGCTCAGGGGATGAACTTTATTGTGATGCCATTGCTATTCAATGTGAGCAGCTCTACCTATCTACTAGAACATCATAAACATGATTGCTGATGCTAAACTTATTTTAGATGGACGAGGCTGAAGCATTCACGCTCCTCGTGAAGCTCATGAATCAGTACGGACTGCGGGAGCTTTTCATCCATGACATGCCAGGTCTCCATCGCAGCTTATATCTGTTCGAACGCCTGCTGGAGGATGTGGAGCCGGCTCTCTATTGTCACCTCCGGCGGCGGGGCGTACCCCCTCAGTTGTATGCCACTCAATGGTTCCTGACGCTATTCGCCTACCGATTCCCTCTTCAGCTGGTTCTTCGCGTCTACGATCTCATCTTCGAAGAGGGCCTTGAGAATACCATCTTGAAGTTCGCCCTGGCTATCATGCGCAGGAATGCAGACACTCTGTTGGGCATGAGGGACATGGCACCGTTAACAACCTTTTTGAAGGAGCGCCTCTTTGACGTTTACATTGATAAGCAGCCCTCAGCGTCATCTATCTTGGAGTCTGGTTTCTTCGGAAGCTCTGGGGCCGCGGACAAGGAAGTTTACCGCGCCGACATCATGGTCCAGGACGCTTGCGCCATCCCTCTGGAGCCCGAGACGATTCGCGCGTACACAGCGGAATGGGAGGAGATGGTACGGACCGAGAAGGAGCGCGAGCAGGAGCTAGACAACCTTCGGCACACCGTTGCAACTCAAAGTGCTCGGATCCGACTACTGGAGGAGCAGGCCGAAGCATCAGACAAGGAGCACGTGCAACTTGCGTCCGAGCTGGTGCACCTGAAGGTGGAAAACGAAGAATTAACGGACATGAACGATGCCATGAAGATGCAGGTCACCGAGTTGAAGAACGTCGTGGATAAACAACCGGCCGAAGTCGAGGAGAAGCTGCGGACTGAGATGGACCGCATCATGAAGCGCAACATGGAAGTCCAAAACGAGAACCGGTCGATGGTCGAACAGATGGCCGAGATGGAGAAGGAGCTAGTGGAGGCTAAGATGAAATGGGCTGAGGTAAGTTCCCATCAATATGCGATCAAGTGAACGACATCTGACCCAACTTAACCAGATTCATGATGAATACGAGAACCTGAAACAGAAATGGAGCGATCTTCGCAAGGCTCTCAACTGAGCAGCGGGATGTAGATATATTCTAACCTGAGTTTAGCGGGTGTTGCCTGGCTTCGCTGCTTTGCTTTTCTTCGTCCAGCTTCCAACCATTCACTACATCTCTGTTACTATCTGTACATTTAAGCGGTTGGCACGCGTGGGAGAAAGCCTTGTTGGGTAATTATGTTTATGTTCACATTCAAGGCAACCACGGGCGAAGAAACTATCTTTGTTAATTGTATCAATGTTGTTCTCTCTTATGTTATATCAGCAGCAGCGGCAGCAACAACATGGCTAGCACTCACTCACTTCATGACACATACCGAACTGACCCTTTTTCCTCTCACCATTGTGACACGTTGACATTATTGTTTTATGTGCCGAAACAGAACCAAGTGTGAAGTAGTGGCATAAAACCAATACTAGATGTATACCATGAATCAAACCAGCAGTAGCCTTATCATCATCTATACATGAAAACATACTGAAAATCATAATACTAGAAAACATGAAAGAGAAAAAAGAAATATCTACAACACACTCTCAAAAAACGTCGTCAACTTATCCGTCCTAACAGGTCCCACAACCGCCTTCAACGCCTTATGCGCCTCACACTGCTCATCATAGTAGACCATATCCTCCAGGGACGCGAACGTCGTCTTCACAGACAGATTCCAGCCCTGGTTGCGCTCATCCGGGATAGAGGCTCCCGCGGCCGAGCTGAGGATGTAGGGTTTTCCGTCCTGTAGATATACATACCCTTATTAGCCACTGTCTGCATACATACATACATAGGGGATTATAAAAGGGGGGGAAAGGAGGAAGAAAGGGAAGGAGAGGTATACCTTAACAGCCGTCTTAGCCAAAACCTTATACTGCTCTAGGACGCGATCGCGGTCCGCGTCATTGGGGATTTTGAAGAGGGTGATGCGTTCGATAGGGGCCATTTTGCGGGTGAATGTGGTGAAGGTTCTTCGGAGGAACACTGAATAAATTGATTAATATCAGGGCCGATGATAATGTGTTTGTATGAGATAATGCTAGGAGGGAGGTTGGTATGGGGTAGAGGGGGAAGAGGAGAGGGAGATGGAGGGGTATTTATACTGGTAAGTATGGATATATCCGATGATGGGGGGGTACTGCGGGGTAAAAGAAAACTAGTATTATGTTCTGCTCTGCTCTCGGTAGTAGAAAGGTTCGTAGAGAATAGGCGACTGTTGGCTGGAGAATGGATGATTGCTGGGAATGAGTGTATGGATCTTCGTGTCGGCTTCCGACGGATGTTCGGATGGGGGAGCTTGGTTTCCCTCGGATCTAAGGTAGTTACGGATGTTGGTGGGGGGAGTGGGTTTAGTGCTATTGGTGTTTACTTGAGACTTTTGGTGATATGTGAAGTTGTTGATTGAATAGTTCTGTACATGAAGAATTGATTTGCATGAATGTCAACTGCAGTGTAACGGACAGGAGGCGTGCATGCAGGATGGGATGTTCTGCATTCGAGAGACGGAATGAATGGGTTGGCGGAATTGGGGGTGAGGAAAAGATTCCGCCCGGGTATGTTTTTTCTCGGGTCTGTGGGATGGCGGAATATTACCAGGCTGGACACCACATCAACTACCTTTGCTGGTGGATGATCAATTCGGTTGAATTATTGCTTGCTTTCAGTGTTTAATGATATAATTGCTATTTTAAATGTTGTACACATAGCTATTGGACCGAATATGTAGTAAATAAATAGCTTGTGGGAATCCACTACCTGCTTAGTATACTTCTTGTCCTCCAAGTTGCCCTTGTATGGAGCCTCTGCTTCAGGCCCTATTTTATTATAGCCCGCGCCCGTTACCAGGAGCCGTGATCAGAGGTAGCCTTAATGATCGTCGGTAGGGCGAAGGAAGACCATGCTAGGCGCACGCCGTCGAATGACCACTTCGATAACATCGTGGCATATCTTGGACAGTGGGATAGACAGCGCAGAAGTCGACTAACTCATCAGCTTCGTGAGCTTCGCCCTCATCATAAAGGACCCTGCTTAATGGGCTCACAAAGACCGCATGAAAGAGTGCGCTTTCAGACTCGGTAGGCGAATGGTTCACCCTCGAGGTGTCATGAATGGCCTTTTGCCAGGCATTCCCAGCATATCGAGTAAGATAGCCTGACACGACACCAACGGGCCTGTGGGAATTTATATCAATCTCTCCCTATCCAGCTGAGTGGTGACTCCAATTGGGAAATCGGAACCATTGACACCACGTATATGAATGGAGAATGGCTTATAAACAGGGCCAGTAACCGGAATGTTGTATGCAAGATCCCACGAGTTGTACTCGAGACCGACTCTCAATCTCCGCCATCAAGCGAACTATATGTATGAGAGTCGGTATTGTTAGCTCGACGCTAAGCGATCGACGAATTCATGGATGGTATCCTCAATGGGACTAGAACAGCACGTCTGAGTTCCGACGGACCCAATCTGTCCACACACGCTGCGTTCAACGTGTCCATAGCCAGCCTGCGCAACGCGAGATCTCCAAACCGCCTGTTCGTCCGTCTTTGATCCGTAGAATCTTACTTCAGATATCATTGACAGGCTCCGGTCTACTCTTGAAGTAGATCTTGTACTTCACGATCTCGACAATCTCCAACTCTTCTTTGTCGTCGGCGGCCGCACCCAATTCCTTCTGTCTCCGCTGCACAATTGCAAGTGGCTGTGGTAGCTTTTTGACCTCTCCGGTCATTCGCTGATACCGTCCAACATATAGATAGACCCTCTTCATCCACTTTGTATCGTCTGGTGCCGTAAACTGTGGGGAGTAATCGGGGAACATGAGCTTGCCGATGGGGGTTTCGAACACGGGGGCACCATTGGGATTGCCGGAACCGTCGGGTGATGAACCTGATGACTCATTGTTTTCGCTGTTTTCTTGCGAGGGTATGTTGATAGTGCCTTGGAGCTCGAGGAGGGCGAGACCGGAGGGGGTTTGCAGAAGCTGGGGGAGGGGATTGTTGACGCGTGCGGAGGGGTTGGACGCGCGAGGGTGGAGGGGTATTGATGGCATTTTGGAATCACTGTCGTGTGAAAAAAGGTGTTTTGTGGGAAAGAAACGGAGCTCGTTGTTTTGGTACGAGGAGAGTGTATAAAGGAGGATATCGAGGGCGTGGCAATTGGGCTTTGGAATTGGAGGTCGCGAAAAGAGAGATTAAGATTAGCGCGTCACGCCAATCTCGTATCTTATCGGCATTTCCTCTTTGGGATGTAGTGCCATCAAGGCGGCTTTGGAAGTTGCACATGGTTTAAGAGCTTGAATTTAACCACGCCAAGATAGTCTACAAGCTACAGTCTACAGATGTTATGTCTCTTGAAGCTGGAAAACGATGGTAGATGTCAATTTGATAGCTGAATAGGGTATTATCCTCATCGAAGTCTTCGATTTTCGTCAAAGACAAGAGCAACAGCGTAATGATGCGGACACTGTATACCATATATAGGACACACGTCCTGTTCAAATCTTGCAAATAGAGAAGCGAACACGTGCTGTTGACTTGTTCTACCGGCCCCCAAACCCGGTATGATCCTGTCTGAATCATCACCCATATGCACGTACATGCGGTTGGCCAGGTTCTGAGAGAAGGGCCAATGGTTGCCAACATTCAAGGGAGTCTAGTCCAAGGAAGCAGAGGCCTTGCCGAGCTGGAGCACATTGGTCTCACACAATGTATGTACCCGTGCTGCAGTGTTGCTTTGCGGCATCTGGCCAATGCAACTCGAGCAGGCAGGCAAGTTATTCGTGCCTGACAATTAGGCAGGTGGAGGTGAGAAGATTATCCTCGATAATAGTAATGCGTCTGCCATATACGGCTCAAGTTTTACGATAGCACGCATCTTCCAGATGACCCAAGCCTCGGATGGCTTCATTTACCATGTCTTCGCCGCTTGTGCCGGCGGGGCCTTGCATCTTGCCGTAGCGCAAGTCGCTCATTTCTCCGACCGTGTTGTTGAGCATAGTCAAGATCGCTGTTGCTTCCTCATCGGTCTCAGAAACTTGACGATCAATGTCCGAGATGGCCTTCTCCATGGCATCCAGGAGACTGGATGGTGAATGATAGTCGGAAGACGATGTTTGTCCGAACAATTGGACATCCATATCCATCTCACGCTGATCGCTAGAGCTGAGTCCGTCAACACCTGTTTTGGCGACGGACTTCCGGAGCTCTGCTTTTTGGGTCTTCCCCTGGCGAACCTCCTTGTCAATGTTGCCGTTGACGAGGTCCATGTCATTTTCCCGTAGCTCTTGCAGTTCGCGGTAGAGCGCCCTGATGTGCGGATGAGACCGCAAACGCTTTGGGAAGAGCTCAGTAAACTGCTGTAACGACATGATCGTCGGCAAAGGAGCCGGTGAGAGCAGAAAATTGCCCAGAATTGAGGATTCCGTAGGCGCCATGGTGGATGAATAGCAGGATGGCGCAGCCAACACACGATAAAATTATGGCTAACACTGAATTCAACTAGTTTGCCCTTTGGAGGCTTTATTTGGTTCACCTTCTGAGGTGATATTGTCTTGTCGCTGCTGTGTTACCCTCAATCGGAGTGTATCGCGTCTTGCGCCGATTAAGTTACCAGAACACCAAGGTGGCTGGGGTGGAACAATGATTGAGTAACAATGCTCAGCTTGCTGAAGTGAGCGACCGTAGCCGGTTTGTATGCAAGATTAATTGATGATACGTTGCTGGTGTTGATGGAATAAAGAGAGAGGAAGATGAGATGGCGGCAGACAAAGCAATTAAAACTAGCCGGGAAAGTTCGTGACTTGCCCTTTTGGACGCGTTCCTCATTCAGTCGTTCCGCTTCCTCTTCTTGTCCCAACCGCGACATGCTTTGAACCCTCACCACTTCTGCAACCCCATTATCCTCTCTAATTGGCATTGGATCAGAGAGATTCGTCTTGTTCCGACCATCTTCCCGAAATAACCAGGGAATAACCAGCCATTCACTGTGAGACCACCGGCTCCTGTCTTATATTGGAGGTTCTGACACTGCTTGGAGCCAATCAACTATCTTCCAAACCAGCCAGAATCATTATAAGCTGGCTGTATGCAAGGCCTAGTGAAAGTTCACATCTGCCACATCACTTCTCTGCTCGTGTGCGCACAGTTGCCATTTTATTCGCTTGCTTAAGTCACTGTTCATCTCAGTGCACGTGCTTCGCAGAGGCGAATTTGACTTGACGAGACCTTAAATACCTGTCTCACCATTCTACTCCGTGTTTCTAGCTGTTTCTTCTCGCGATCAAATTGGGGAAACCTGTGGCTGGTATTTTGATTTGCTATAACAGCATCCTACCCCTCAGTGACAGCAGACACCCCTTGATCTGTCTACGCGCCACTTCATCTCAAAATGGCTCCAACAAGCCAAATGACCTACCAGAAGGACGAGAGGGTTCTCTGTTTCCATCATGAAATCCTTTACGAGGCCAAGATCCTTGACCTGAGGCATACAGACCCAGAGGACCGTAAGAGTCCTTACGAGTATCTAGTCCACTACAAGGGCTGGAAGAATACGTACGTATACTCTAGTGTTATCCCCCTTCATCTCTCCAAATTCTCTTACCTCCTGTTTTGTGATGGAATTGTGATTCTGCTCTACATGGCAGAAGGACGGGGTTCGCGCAATTTCCCTTCTGCCGGTGAAGCCACCATCACGCCGGAATGGAGAGCTGTCCTTGTCAGAGCCACAATTGCTGACATTTGTTCTGTCTTTCCAGCTGGGATGACTGGGTTCCCCAAGACCGCCTTCGTAAATTCACGGAGGAAAACAGAGAATTAGCCACCACTCTTCGTCGTGAGGCAGAGGCTGCATTCCGCCAGAAGAGCACCAAAGCCTCTGTCAAGAAGAGGGGAGGCTCCGACCGCAGTTCCGCCCGAGGCAGCGAGGAAAGGCAAACCTCAGTGCCTGGCCGCGGAACCAAGAGAGCTCGTGACAACGATATCGAAAAGGTAAGTCTGCTGCATTTTTGCCTTCAATATTCCCTGTAGCCTGTCACACCGCTAGTGACGGTGCGCACACGGGACAGCACTATTGATCACACATACTAACTGTGTCATCACAGGAGGAGAGCTTTTACGTGCGGCCTTCAGTAAGGATCGCAATGCCAGATAATTTGAAGTCTCTCCTAGTGGATGATTGGGAAAATGTCACCAAGAACCAGCAAGTCGTGGCTTTGCCTGCCAAGTCCCCGGTCAATCAGATTTTGGACGACTACGTCAATGAGGAGAAGCCCAAGCGCACAAGCTCGGCTGATACGGACGTCCTTGAAGAAGTCGTCATGGGTGTGCGTGAATACTTCGACAAAGCGCTTGACAAGGTTCTCCTATACCGGTTTGAGCGCGAGCAGTACCGGGTTCTCCGCAAAAAGTGGGAGGCAGGTTCGGGCGACTACGCCGACAAGGGACCACTC